CTTTAAAACATCTCAAAATCAACTAGTATAGGCACAGACATACCTTCGAATTACGGACAGAATGCTAATGAAAACACTGGAACCCTCGGTACATAGTCAATATCAATGACAGCTGGGCCAGCAGCACTGCCCGAGGGCTTGCAGTTGTACAGTACGCGGACATTCAGTGAACAAAGCACTTTACACCCCCCCCCCCCGCAGTACTTCACAGTCGCAGAAAAATACGTTCATCTTCATGCAGTGCCAAAAGAAACACCAGCAGTCAACGACAGGCTTCGTCAGGCTAAGCAATCCTGGTATCTCGAACGGCGGGAGCATGCTTGCGCACGTCTACTCGGCAGGAGACAAGTGTCAAAACTGAGTGACGTCAGAAACCATGCCCGGAGTAGTGAGCTGGCCTGAATTATTTGTCTAGATGGCATTGCCTCAGCCAATGACACCTAGATTATTTCAGGCCTGTTCACTGTTCCTGCCGTGAGCTCTGATGTCATTCCATTGTGACCACCGTGTTTCACTTCGCAGACGTGCCTACGCTTGCTCACGCCGCTCGATAGAGGTGGATTGCCAAGCCTCACTAACGATTTCGTGGTGTGCTTGTTGGCGACCGGAGAAGACCGTGTTTTTATGTGTCTGTTAACTGCGGCGTGGATATGTGCTGCGCATTGTGCACTGGATATTCACATAGTTTACGGTTGCAAATCAGGACGATGTGGCGGTGCTGCGAGCCGAATTGTTGCTGCAATAACGAAAACATACCGAAGGTGTGAGTGTTCTTGTTTTTTAAAGACCACTGAAGAAGGAAATGGGAGTATGCCGTTCTTTGAAATGGCGTCGACATTCGTTCTCTTCGTGAACGTAATGTATGTGTACTTATAAAGGCCTGAGCACACGTACCCGTCGCATCGCGTTGGATTTGGCGCAGCGCCGAGAGAGGGTGCCCAACTTCGCGTTGCCGTGCGCCATCTGGCGCGCATCGTTGCTTTTTGACGTGGTGTGGCACCACGTCATAAAGCAACGAGCTGACGCGCTGCGACGAATATGTGTGGTCAGGCCTTAAGACGTTCTAATGCATGGCATGTATCATCTTCAACATGTCCCGTTCTTACTCTAAAATAACGATGTCGTGTGAGCTTCTGACATTTCTGCGTAAGCACTGTTACGCCTGAGAGTCCAGACCAAACGTTATTGCCTCTGCAAAGGCAGTCTGTGTCAAGGCGAGCGAGCCCGCCTGACGCCATCATCTCAACGACGTCATCCAACTTGACGCGCCAGTGTGTGTTACGCAACGCACGGCGAGCTCCCTCAACCCACGGGCCCAATTGCAGCCCGATGATGCAAGCGGAGCTATCCAGTCTGGCGAGTCTTACGCAATGTGTGGCAACATCACTCGCCCTTGGGTGCAACCATGGTCCCTGTTATATTCAGTTTCGGTTTTTACTTTGTGTTCTTTCACCCCCAGGGGGCGCGTCGGTCCTTTATGTATATATTCGATGTGTTGCCACAATAAACGTCTTTTTGTACGGTGGTGCTGCCGGTGCTTTTTACGTCTTTCGCGAACACCACATTGGCGACGAGGGTGGGATAAACACGTCAAGCTACCTTCAGCATCGAGTGTCGTCCGGGTCCGCCCCGCCATGAGTTTCTCCAGCCTTGCTCCGCCGCCGCCGTTCCTCCCGACGCCCGGCCGGCCGTCACTTCCATGGGAGGAGTGGGCGCAGACTTTAACAGTCTACCTTCTGGCATCCGGAGCAGCTGAATTCCCACCAGCGTGACGCAAGGCCATTCTTCTGCATTGTTTGGGGGCGGAAGGGCAGCGTGTTTACCGGATTTTACCTGCAGGGTCAAATGCCGCGGCACCAGCAAGCGCCGCAGCACCGGAAGTATAAGAGAAGCCTCCCGTGGCCGCTACTGGCGAGTACGAGGCTGCACTCATCGCCTTACGGCAGCAGTTTTCCACGTCGTGTAACGTCGTCGTCGAGCGTCATCGTTTCCACCGCCGCAGCCAACACGCAGGCGAGTCCGTTCATGACTTTGTTGCTGCTTTACGGGAGCTTGTTTCGCATTGTTCGTTCGCTTCACAAGATGATGCTCTGCGGGACCGATTTGTTGCCGGCGTTGTTTCCAACCGCGTACCTGAACGGTTGCTGCTCGAGGGTTCCTCCCTTTCGTTCGAGCGCGCAGTGCGGATCGCTCTTCAGTTTGAGCAAGCAGCCGAAGAGCTGAAGGAATTTTCTGCTTCGGTCAAGCCTGTTTCTGTACGGCGTCGTTCCCAGTATTCGCATTCTTCGCGAAAATTCGATTTCCAGCCAAAAGCGCATTTTCAGCAAAACTCTCCAAGCGCTAGCGGTTCGCGTGCGCCGCAGGGGCCCCGCCCCCCTCGGCGAGACAGAGATAGCCGGTCCGTTTCACCACACTGTTTCCGATGCGGCTCGCGGAATTACCACGCATCAGCGTCACAGTGCCCTGCGCAGGTAAAGAAGTGTTTGTTTTGCGGTATCAAGGGACACTTTCAGAAAGTATGCAACCGCAAGCGTCAAATGCAAGGCAGGATTCGTGAAGTTGGCATCGATGACGATGCTTTGTCAGGGGGAAGTTCTGAGCAAGTTTTGACTGTGCAGCATCCCGCTCGCAGCGCAATTTACATACAAGTACGCGTAGCGGATGTCAAATTGTCATTCCTTGTTGACTCAGGGTCGTCTGTTTCAATTCTATCAAAGCAAGAATTTCACCAACATTTTCAAAGCGGTTTGCTCCTCCCAGCTCCGCACTTCACTTTGTTTGACTATTCGAAGCGCCCAATTTCCGTGCGAGGCTGTTTCCAGGCAGACGTTCAGTTTAAAGGGCGCTCTGCACCACTTCTTTTCTACATCGTTCGCCAAGGAACTTGTCTGATTGGCCTTGACGGCATTAAGGCCCTAAATCTTCGAATACAGGGCTCCACTCTTGAGTGCCTACACACGTCCATTGCCCCGCCGCCGCGTGTTAATGACCCGACACTTTGTCACATTCCGATGCAGTCAATAGAGCAACCCAGGAAAGCAAACCTTCCGCCAGCCTTGGAACACGACTTCGGTTCACTTTTCAGTCCCGAGTTGGGTCTTGCTAAGCGGTTCACGCATCGTGTCAAGATTCGGCAAGGCGTGCAGCCGGTATCTTCGAAGCTGCGCCGTCTTCCATATTCACTTCGGGAACCAGTGTCAAATGAACTTCACAGGTTGCTGCGCCTTGACATCATCGAACGCATCGATGCTTCTGAATGGGTTTCACCCATTGTTGTCGTTGACAAGAAAGACGGCACCATCAGAATTTGGGTTGACCTCCGGGAGCCTAACAAGGCTATTGTACCAGACAGCTTCCCGTTGCCTCATACAGAGGAACTCCTTCATGTCTTGGTAGGTGCGACACACTTCTCAAAACTTGACTTGGCTTCTGCCTACCATCAGGTTCTTTTGCACCCTGACAGCAGGGACCTGACAGCCTTTATCACGCATGAAGGACTCTTTCGGTTCAAGAAAGTTTGCTTTGGGTTAGCTTCTGCTCCAGCGGCATTTCAGAAGATGATGGCCACAATTCTAGATGGCTGCCCTTGTGTGTTGTTCTACATTGATGACGTGATAGTCTTTGGGAAAAGTGCAGAAGAACATCTTTTGCACCTAACAAAGGTTTTGCAGAAAGTAAAGTACGCAGGACTGAAATTGAACGACAAATGCCTCTTCGACGTTCCAGAACTTTCTTTCCTAGGGCATAAGGTGACTGCACAAGGTATCTCGCCGCTTCCAGAGAAAGTAGACTCGGTAGTTAACACTCCAGCGCCAATAGATGTTGCTGCCCTCCGTTCATTCCTGGGTCTTGTAGAATACTATTCCAAGTTTGTTCCGCGCTTGGCCCAGGTGGTCGAGCCTATGCGCGTTCTGCTTCGCAAGAATGAGCCATTTATCTGGTCAGCCGAAGCAGACAGCAGTTTCCGGAGGGTCAAGGAAATGCTTTCTTCAAGTACAGTTCTCCACATGTTCGATCCATCACTTCCAGTCATCGTGTCGACCGACGCTTCTGACTGTGAGCTGGGAGCCGTTCTGCAGCAGCAAAATGGCCATGAGCTCCGCACAGTGGCTTTCGCGTGTCGTACCTTGTCACCAGCGGAAAGAAAGTACTCGGTCGGCGAACGCGAAGCGTTGGCATGCATTTGGGCGTGCGAACGATGGCACACTTACCTTTGGGGTCGCCATTTCAAGATTCGAACGGACCATCAGGCGTTGGTATCGTTGCTGTCTTCGCAAGGACGTGGCAGAAGGCCACTTCGAATTGCACGCTGGAATGCGCGACTCCTATGCTACAATTTCACTGTCGAGTACCGCAAGGGGTCCACCAACACGGTGGCAGATGCTCTTTCTCGGCTGCCAGCTCCTGCCGCGCAGGCACAGCTGGCCAAGGATGAAGAAATTGTGTCGTTGGTCGAGTCGGCTTGCGTGACGAAGGAAGAATTCAAGCAAGCCGTCCTCAACGATGGTTGTCTGCAAACGGTCAAGTCGTTCGTGCTCGGTTCTTGGCCACCACAAAAGTCCATACCAGAGGAGGCAAAACCTTTCTACTCTGTGCGCGAAGAACTTTCTGTTGTTGATGACCTTCTGCGCGCAGAACGCCTCGTTGTTCCGTCCTCACTCACGGCTCAGTTCATCGCCGTTGCCCACAAGGCACATCCGTGCATCACGCGCACAAAGGCGCGACTTCGTGAGCTATTCTGGTGGCCACGGATAGACAAGCAAGCTGAATCTGTCGTGAAAAACTGTCACATCTGCCTGGAGGCAGATAAATCTGCCAGAACATCGCCAGCGCCATTGCAGCCTATTGACTGGCCTGAAAGGCCATGACAGAAACTGGGCCTAGACATTGTTGGCCCATTGGAACATGCACCTCACAATAGCCAATTTGCTATAACACTGGTCGATTACCATTCCAACTGGCCAGAGATATATTTCTGCAGCGAAGTGGCCACAAGCATCATGAAAGACTTCTTAACCAGTGTTTTTGCCCGTGAAGGATACCCGGAAGAGATTGTTTGCGACAATGGGCCGCAGTTCGCTTCACGTGAATTTGTAACCTTTCTTCAAAATCGAGCCATCAAGCTTTCTCATTCGTCTGTATATTACCTCCAGGCGAATGGGCAAGTCGAGAGGTTCATTCGAACTCTGAAGAAATTCATCCAGGTTTCACTCCTCGAAAGGAGACCTATCCGACAAGCAGTTACGGACTACCTCTCTATTTACCGCTGTACTCCACAGGCTACCACTGGAGTTGCCCCAGCAGTTCTGCTGCATGGGCGAATGCCCCAAAGCAGATTGGATGTTGTGGGGTTTTCGGCACCAGCGTTTGCAAAGGACCAAGCAAAGGAACTGGCGCGACTGCGCCAAAGGGTACGGCTTCAACAGCAAAGCAGTAAGGAGTACACGGACCACAGGAGAGCTGCTAAGCAGCCAAAGATAGCTGTGGGTGATTTCGTTCGTATCAAGAAGCTGTCCGTTCGCTTCAAGGGGGATCGCTCATTTTCCTCGCCAACTGAGGTGTTGGGGAGGAGGGGACCTGCCTCTTTCAGACTTGCAGACGGCCGCACATGGAACGCCTCCAAGCTTTCCCGGGTTCCTGAGAGGGGCACGAGTGCACCATACCAACGTTCGGAGCTACCTGCGCCACAGCTTCCGGTTCAAGTGCCGCAGCCTGCCCTGCCACAGCCGCCTTCTCCCGGGTCACAGCCGCCGCCTCCTGGCGTACTGCAGTCTGCCGTACCGCAGTCGCCTGCTCCTGATCCGCAGCGGCCTGTACCGGAGCCTGTCATGCTGCAGCCGCCTTCTCCTGGGCCGCAATCGTGGTCTCCTGGCGTACTACAGAGCTCTACAAGCTCATTACCATCTCTGGCCGTGCAGCATCCCCATCGGCCGTCCCGAGAGCACCGGCCACCAGTCTGGCTCAAGGACTATCAGACCCACTAGTTGCCTGTGTGTATAGCACAGTGTGTATGTAGTGTAAATATGTATGTGTATACAGCGTGTAAAATTTACAGTGCATACATAGGGGTTTCTTACTAACACTTACTAACAACTAATCACTACATATAAGGGAGGGAGTATGTTATATTCAGTTTCGGTTTTTACTTTGTGTTCTTTCACCCCCAAGGGGCGCGCCTGTCCTTTATGTGTATATTCGATGTGTTGCGTACAATAAACGTCTTTTTGTACGGTGGTGCTGTCGGTGCTTCTTACGTCTTTCGAAAACACCACAGTCTCTCAATACTTTTACTGGTCATGAAATTCCCTCGTAACTCATTGGGAGAGCTTCATATACCGCCCACACATTACGCGCCGCGGCGCTGGCGTAGCTACAAGGGGTGTGGGATGGACATAATTTGAGGGCAGGGAAGCTAGCAGCAAGATAAAATTTGAGAAGCGATTGAGAGAAATGGGGGAAGAGCGTTGGGCTAGGAAGGTTTTCAGCTACTTGTACTAGAAGAATGTCGATACAAAATGGAGGAAGCGAACCAGGAAGTTGACTGGTAAATACTTAGAAAACAGCAGGTGGCCAAACCAAAAAGAACTATCTGTTAAGAAGAAAGTGAAGGAAACGGAGACTGACATGTGGAGAATGGGCATGATTAAGAAGTCCGCACTAGAGACCTTTCAAACTTTTAAGCAGGAAATTTCCAAGGAAAGGATCTATGATAATACTCGGGGTAGTTCTCTACTGTTTGAGGCCAGCACGGGAGGACTGCGAACCAAGACATATCGGGCCAAATACGAAGGGGTAGACACAGTATGCAGTGCGTGTGGAGAGGAAAAAGGAACTGCGGAACACTTGATAATGTTCTGTAAAGGGCTTCACCCTATAGTTCAGGATGATGGCGCAGAGTTTTTCAAAGCACTGGGGTTTAGGGACCGGGAGGGCAAAATAAACTTTAAGCCGGTAGACTTAACTAGAAGGAGGTTATCTGATTGGTGGCTAAAGTCAAGGCACGAGTGAAAATTAAACTCCTTCACTGCGAAAGTACGAATCCTCAAACTCACTTTTTAAGGAAAAAAAAGATATAGTTTTTGGTTCATTAGGTATTACGGCTAGGTGGCGCTAGCCAGCCACCCGATCTAAAGGGTACAGCCACTATCCATCCATCCATCCATCCGGGGGACGAGGAAGCCGCCTTGCTGCTGGCCGCCATTAGCCGAGTGTGAGCGCGGAGTGGTGCTTGTTTGTGCTGCTTGCACCTTTTTTTCTCTTTTCGCGGTCACCTCGTCGTGACCGCGATGCCCAACACCTGCTGTGTGCCGGGCTGTCGCTCGGGATACAAGGGCAACGTCAAAAAAGTCTCCCTGTTCTGTTTACCAGCCGACGCAGAACAACGCGACAGGTGGAAACGTGCAATCCCGCGACAGGAGACTGTCGGATTTTCGTTCGACTCGAAGTATGTTCGCGTGTGCGAAAAACATTTCGATGCAAGTGACATCGTACGTGCGGACGTGTGTACAGTGAATGGGAACATCGTTTCACTGCCTCGAGATCGGCCAAGACTGGTGGAAGGCGCCGCGCCAAGAATTTTCGAAGGTTTGCCTGCTTACCTCTCCAAACCAAAACAGCGTTCGCGTGGACTAACAAAGCGCCCACCTGTAAAAAGGCCGCGAGAGCTTTCTCCAGACTGTGATGCGACAGTTGCGAATGCGGACGTCTCCACTGCAGCCGACGAAGAAATCGACGGTAAGTCTGGCACAAAGCTTGCAAGTATCCTAACCACTCACTACGCTAACAAATTTCGCTCACTATACGCTAACAAAATTGGCTCCTTCCCTTATGAAATTTGCTCTTTGTCAGTCTTTGCAGATGTTGTAAGAACTGAGAATCGCCCAGGCTTTCGCTGATGCAGAGTGTCAAACAGAGGTCCCAGTTTGTTCAGCATCGGAGCTGCAGAGAGTGAAGGCGCAACTTCGCAGCGTGAAGCAACAGCTTCAATCATGCCAGCGGAAACTCGCAAAAGCGGAGGCGCACGCGAATAAAAAAGGTGGAATGTACGGAGATATTCACAAGCTGTCAGACCGCGAGAAGCTCATTATAGACCAGTGCATCATGAAGGCAAATATGAAGTCTACGAAAGCAGCACGGTAAGATCCCGTTTGTGAAGTGTGTTTGGAGTTTTATGTGAAGTGCGGTTTTCGGAGTGTGCGCGTTTTCTTTCTGGATAATGATAGAAACTGAAAAGTGATGCCGTGGACCAAAATGCAATATTTTGTTTTACTTTGATAGTGCTGTTTGCTGGTGCTGTCGCTGAATCGTGAACACAAAAATCTGCATTTTATTTATTGCAGGTATAAAAAAGAATGGCTTTACGACTGTTTACTGCTGAAAATCAAATCGACAGCAGTTTATACATTTCTTCACGAGAATAATTTTCTGCCTCTACCACACCCTCGCACACTCTACTCCTACCTAAAAAATCTGAAGGCCGGCTTTGGATTTGATGAAAATTTATTTGCCATCCTCAAAGACAAAGTGGGAAATATTCCAGAGAGAGAACGCCGAGGTATCAATTTTATTTTTTTGCATTTGATTTTTCTGGACTTTAGGTAAACAGCTGAAATAATATTTTTTTTCTTTAGGGGTCCTGATGTTTGACGAGATGAGCGTGAGAAGGAGCCTTCATGTAAGGGAATCGGATATGACACTGCTTGGAAAGGTCGACTTAGCAGAGCACACGAAGCCTACTGACCAAGTGAAAGATGGTGACCATGTGTTAGTGTTCCTTTTCCGACCATTCCTCGGTGGCTGGTCGCAGACTGTCGGAGCGTTTTGCACGTCAGGGGCTGCACCAGGCTCCGCTATTGCTAAACTGCTCCTGCATTGCATTGTACTCCTGTCGAATGCCGGTTTCGTTGTGGATGCAGTCACTTGCGATAACTCTACTTCGAACAGATCAGCATTGAACTCTTTGGGTAAATATTTATAGACATTATTTATCCTCATGGTATCTAGTACGTGATCTTAATAATAGAAATGTCTTCCTTTTAGGTGTCAGCGGCGATATCGCCAGAGTATCAACGTCATTTGAGCATCCATGTGACTCCTCCGAAGTCATTCAGGTCATAATTGACCCACCTCACATCTTCAAGTGCATCAGGAATAACCTTCTGAAGGCTGGAAAATTCCTGGTGGGTAAAACACAGTTAAGATAAGTCATCACAGTGCTCTGGCTGTTTTGTCTCACAGGCTTTTTCTTAATGTAACAGTTGCCTGGTGACAAAGAAGTACAGCATTTCCACTTTGAAGCTATGCTAGACTACGAGGAGCAGCAAGCTGGACTTCGGGCTGTGCCAAAGCTTATGAAAGCACACATCAGGCCCAACGCTTTCCAAAAACTGAGTGTGAAACTTGCTGTCCAGGCAAGTCTGCTCTAGCATGTGTCATTAATTATTAGTATGTATCAAAAAGTGCTGTTCCTTCATGAAAATACAGCACTCTGCCATATAACTTCTCTAAAATCTTTCAGCTCTTCACTGAAAGCACCGCTTCAGCAATGGACTTCTATCGCAGTAGAGAAGAAGTGTGTGAAACTTCGTGGCTCCAAAGCAACCTCAGATTTCGCGAGACGAACGAATATTCTATTCGACTGCTTAAATTCCAAGAGGCCACAAGATGTGCAGTATAATTAAGCAGAACACATTGCTGTAAGCCCTAATATTTCAAAGCTATGGTCGCTTCCTTTGAAGTTCCAAATAAATCAGATTGTTTTTCAGACACTGAAGGAGAACACCGAGTGGCTTGACAGGTGGCACACTTACAACCAGAGTTTACCAAAGCAAAACCAACTCTTCTTTCTGAGCAAGCCAACATTCAATGCTCTGAGAATGACTTTGCACAGCACAGTGACGCTTGTCGAGAAGCTGCTGAAATGTGGCTTTCGCTATGTTTTAGTTGGAAACTTTGGACAAGACCACCTCGAGGTAAATTTAAACGTTTTCGCTAGTTGAAGACATTTTATTTGCACTTTTCTCTCTTTCAGAGGTTTTTTTGGCATAGCAAGGCATGTTGCTGGAGCAGGGGGACAGCCAACGGTTCAGCAATTTTTGTTCATTTACCGGTTGCTCTCGGTCAACAACTTCATCCGTCCGCCACAGCGAGCCTCAGTTGAAGGGGATGGTCCACGTCTTCTTTTAAAAATGCAGAATCTCTTTCAACATAAAGAACCGACTGTTAATCAGGTAAACATTTTAATAGCGCACCAACGCTGCTCGTAGGGTGTCTCTCCATCTTAAGGAAATGTGTTGAATGTTGTCTAGCCCTTTGATGCTAATGACATGCACGTCTAGTCGTATGATATACAACGAGCTTCTATTCTTCTTTTTCACTTTTCAAATTTCTCACTCTTGTCATTGTGGTATGAAAAATATTTACGTTTCAGGTTGATGCCTTGGCTGTTCTTTTTGATGATATACTGCTGGAGCCTGGTGAATGCATGCAAGATATGATTCATCCGGAGTCAACGAGGGACTGCATTTTGGATTACCTTGGCGGCTATGTTGCAAAGAAGTTTGCTAAAATAAGCTGCAAGGACTGCCTCCAAACACTTAGAAGCAACTCCCGAGAGCCAACTGCATTGACTGCAATTAGGACGAGAGGATTTTTGCAAGTGCCATCGGAGCAACCATTGCGCCTCTTGCAAATTGTGGAGGAACATGTTGAAATGCGCCCCATAGGCAATATAGCCTGTGCCAATGTCTACATGAACGTTGTTGAAAACATCTTGCTGGACGACCACACTTCCTCGGCCAGTGTTGGCTGTGGAACACATTTTGTGAGCACCACGGCAGAAGTTGTGCACTTTTTTATTAAGTGCCGTCTGCACTTTTTTACGCGCGAACAAAACAAACTGTTTCGTGCTGGTGGTCGCCCATCCTGTTCGGCCGGAGGAGGGAGAAAACCAGAGGCATAATTATTTTTTCAGTGATCTTTTTTGTGTCATTCACTCTATCTCCCAACTTTTCATCCACAGTTTCATCCACGCAGATTTAAATAAACTCTATGTGTCTGTGCTCATGGCAGTTTGTAATTCTTGACAATTGCCAGTAATTGCAGCAAAAAAATATGCCGAGAATTTCGCCCACATTTCCTTGCAAGGCGCTGCGTTGTTGCAAAGTTCAAAATGCTACCCACTGCTAGGTAAGTGGCACACAAATTTATCTCCATTAGGCAGAAATATTTCGCATATAAAAAGCTGAAAAAAATTGAAAGAGATATCTAAGTGGACAAAGAAAAGAAAGTGTTCGGTTTAAGCCCGAAAGCGACTATACAGAAATCGAGAAATGTAAAAAATGTCACGAACACACCCGTCACTTGACAGATACTCTCAGTCAAAACATTGCCAGCAATCAATGACTTGGGCAATTTGACAACGCGCATCATGTACAATATTGACAATACTAATCACTGCTATGATTTGTTAGCGAGAACATGGAGAAGGAAAATATCTGAAGAAGTGTATTTGACGGCCAACGCTTCTGCGAACGCGCACCTGCCCTACCAAGCGCGGCAGATAAATGCCCTCCTGTATACGGTAGCGCCTCTCGTGGCCACTTTTGTCCCTATATGGAACTTTCGCGGGAGTTTCATGACCAGTAAAAAAATGGCAGCATATCCACGGGGTGGATGATGGAGAGTGGCGCGAAGCATCCGTCCGTGTATTCGTTCTTGCTTCCATCCGTCCGTGCATCCATGCATGCATCCACCCATGCGTCCATCCGCCCGTCCGTGCGTGCGTCTGTACGTGCGTCCGCACGTCCATCCATGCGTCCGTCCATGCGCTCGTCCATGCATCCACCCTGCGTCCACCCATGCTTCCATCCGTTTGTGCAGCCATCCCTGCGTCCGTCCATGCATCTGTCTGTGTGTCCATTCGTCCATCTAGTCAACACTCCAAGTACAACAATCTCGCATCTTTTGATTATATATTCCGCATATAGAAGCACCGCCATCCAGCAGACATTGCAAGGACTAAACGAGAGGTGGCACACGCACACTTTCTTACGGCTGGCGCTTCGTGTCTATCTACTTCCCACCTGTAACCACCTCGAGTTCATGGTACATACTAGTTCACTGTATTCATGGCACTGCGGCCCAACGCTCGCTAAACCTTTCTGAAACAAAGGAGGTTACGTCCAGCAAGTATAACGTAGCAACCTTTTCTTGTCAGATACTGCTCAATGTGCATGCCAATGGCTGCTAATGGGGAATGAGAGACAGAAAAATTTGGCTTTTAGTTAACGCGAACGCTGCGATTTTTTTATTGTTCAACAACGCACAGGAGAAATCTCCCACCGGCACCCCCTTGGAGGTCAAAGCGTAAGACATGTTACGTACTACGAGGGATGAACGGGTGCCGCTTTGAGGAGCTTCGCCCCTAAAAGTATTGAGGAACCATGGTGCAACCAACGGTTTTAGATACTGTCAGTTGGAAAAGCCCGCTCCGGAGGCGGCACCAACACGTATCCGCTCCGAGGGACGGCGCTGGCGTAGCGTTGAGATCAAGCCGCCGCCACCGCCGGCTTCCCGCGGCAGCGTTGAATTGTTTTTTGTTTTTGTTTTTCAGTTCAATTGCTCAGACCACAGTGGCGGGAGCTTGAAGGTTAGATTTATGTCATCGCAAATAGTATTAAGCAATGTACATGCCAATCAAGCAGGCTTGAGTGAATTAGCAGGTTAACATGGTAAACATGCGGAACTGCGGCGCGCCGGGCTGTCTTAGTGACTATACATCTGAGGAAAACACTTGCAATCGGCAGTACTTCTTCAAACTCTCCTGTTACCCTGTAGTTCTGAAGGCCTGAACAGCTGCTATTTCTCGAAAATCCTTCCAGGTGACGGTCAAGACATACATTTCCGACTTACATTTCAAATCCAAGGACCTAATAACTTGCTACGAGCACATCGTAAGGGGAAACGTGAAAATTCTATTTGGTAAGGGGACACCTAAGTCCCCTGCTGTTCCTCGAAATTTCCTGAATAATCTTGCACACTTGTCTTAACCAGCAGCAATAAAGCACAAAAGGAAACAACCGAAACTTAGAAAACCCACGAATGTTGGGGGCCCTGTGTCGGCAAGTGGTGGCGATGTGTCGGACGTTAACATGGTGGAGAACAGCGATGTTGACGCAGCTATACTGGCATCCCCTCCGATCCTGAGTTGTATTCAGAGGTAGAAACTTGGTGCCGTGCACCACAAGAGCGAACAATGTTCCAGTCATGGAATGCTGAGCTTATCCAGGAAGTTTTCTTTTTTTTTCAAATTCGCTCTTTTTGCTGCGCTGAAAGCTTCAAAGCGAAGTCAGCCAGAGGGCAGCGCTACAAAACCGAGTGGCTGATTACTTGCCCCCTCCTTAAAATATAGAGCCCTGGTGCTGCATATAGGTTGATGTGAAAGGTGAACATACTGCCTGTGTCAACACCATCATGACTTGAACAAATAAATTAATAATGGAATGCCTAACAAATCGGGGTTCAAAAAGATTTCATTCAGCACCATCGGTTGTTGTGCTGGAAGAAGGCCGGTCATAAGTTAGTCCACTTGATTGGTAGAGCCTTTTGAAAGCAGTGTTTTCATTTTTCGAATGTCTTTCTTCACTTTTTCTGAAAAAAGAAAAAAACAGTGGCCTAATAACCATCTTTCTTAGTTTTTTTAGTAGTCGCGCGTAATTTTTGGAAAAGCTTTGCCGGTTTCACAGATTTCTTCTTTTTTTTTCTTCAACCAAGCTCACAGATTCTTCCTTGTGCCCCGCCGCGGTGGTCTAGTGGCTAAGGTACTCGGCTGCTGACCCGCAGGGCGCGGGTTCGAATCCCGGCTGCGGCGGCTGCGTTTCCGATGGAGGCGGAAATGTTGTAGGCCCGTGTGCTCAGATTTGGGTGCACGTTAAAGAACCCCAGGTGGTCGAAATTTCTGGAGCCCTCCACTACGGCGTCTCTCATAATCATATCGTGGTTTTGGGACGTTAAACCCCACAAATCAATCAATCAATCTTCCTTGTGTTCTTGCATGGTGGGCATAAGTATTTCCGGGACAGCCTGAAAGTGCTCCTCCACACGTCCCGGATCTTCAGGGCTGATGTTGCGGTCGAAATCAAAAAAGAATAAGCTGCCATGACAGCCCTTGCATATCTTCAGATGATCAACATAACCGAGAAAAGTTGATACCATCTGCAAGCTCGTGAGTTTCAGATGGCTTCCGAAGCCATTTTCGCTGATTCGCACGAGGAAACAAGCTTCCCTCTGCAACTGAAGACAAAGGTGAACTCTTTCGTTTCCACCACTGCCTCGTAGAACTTTGAAAAAAAAAAGAACTTTCTGTATAAGCTCAATATTTCTGGATTGGAACTTTCTTGGGTTGTGTACTGTAGGAAACCAAGTTGCTACCTCTTGACATTACTCTGGATTGCAGTGGATAGTTTCGTCAACATCGCTGTACTCCATGTTAACGTCACACACATCGCCACCAGTTACCGACGCACAGCCCTGGAAATTCGTCGTTTCTTGTAGTTTTGGGGGTTTCCTCTCGTGCTTTAATGCGGCTGATTTATACAAGTGCGCAGGAATATTCAGAAAAAAATACATGAACAGTACCGGGCTTCAGTGCCAACCTACCACGGGGAATTTTGACAGCGTTTTCACCTACTATGATCTCGGAAAAAGAGATTTGGTCCTCGGATTCGAAATGTAGTTCTTCACTGTCACCTTACAGGCTTCTCGTGGAATAGTTACAGTCCAGGCGTTGAGAACTGCAGGGTTACCTGGAGTTTGAATAAGTGCCACCGATCGCAAGTATTTTTTTCGGAAGCATAGCTACTTCAACAGCTTGGCGCGCAGGTCGGCATGTTTACTATTTTAAACTGCTGATTCACTCAAGCGTGTTTGATCGTCATGTCACGTGTGAAATATGAATTGCGAAGAGCTTTTCCAAATAAAAGTTATTCAAGTACTGGCTGTATGTGAGTCTATTGTACTGCATTTTTATTTTTTCTTAAATTATCTTTACATCACTTTGGAAGCCCTTCTTCTAACTCCTCAGATAATTCCTGCTACAGTCCAAGGAGTTTGTGTATGAAATTCATCTTCACATAAAAATTATACAATTTATGTCAGCTGTGCCAGACGCGAGGCTTGCAAGCTCACCCATTAAAGCGCAGCAGGATTGTGGCTCTAATTCGCACAAGACTGAGCGTGTGGCCTGTCTATTTTTCCTCAGCTCTTCAAAAAGAAGCACAACCGTTTCTAAATTTATTCTTACACGTAATTTATACAATGTGTAAATACAACACGCTCGTTCGCCTAGAATCGTCCACAACCTGAAGGCGCACATATGCCATATTCATTGCAGAGTGCAAGGCAGATATTTTTTTCAGGGGGAAGAGGCACCACCTTGATCTGAAGAGGGTGCCAGAAAGACAAGTGTGGTCAAGTGTCACTTTTTGCTCTGTAAACAATAGCGGAAAAATTGGGGGGGGGGGGGGATAACGGTACAGACTTAGTGTGTCCCGCACTGGCAACACCACTCAGTCATTGCAGGCAAAGAAATAGTCATACATTTCTTAGGTACAGACGCGAAGCTTATTTATGACTAAGTAATATTCATTTGGCCTTCATCTAGCTACTTTACCTAAAATCCGCGTATTACAAAACGAATTTCCCGCTATTTCGCATGCGGAGGTAGCAGACGACGCTCCGTCACCAATCTCAAAGAGACAGCAGCACCACTCGTGCTTACCCAACTGACAGTATTCAAAAGCGTTGGGTGCAACTCAGTGCAGC